ATTACAAGTGAAATAATACTAAAGAGAGAAGATACAAATGCCTTAAGAAGATTAAAAAAAAAAAGGCAAATGAGAGGTGTACTTAAATCCTAAACATTAGGCCTTCTTTTATAGGGTGAAATTCCCATTCAAAATTGTCATCCACCGATGTGGGACTTTTGACAATTTCAACAATAATTATATAACTGGATTGTCATTGAATTTATGGTTTTATATTTGGGAACTTAACAATATGTTGTCACATGACGACTGAACTAATTGTACATCATTCTCTACACTTTTTAAATGCCGGTGATAATTATATTACTGAATTGTCATCGAATTTATGGTTTTATATTTGGAAACTTAACAATAACTTGTCACATGTCGACTGAACTAATTGTACATCATTCACTACACTTTTTAAATGTCGGTGATAATTATATAACTGGATTATCATTGAATTTATGGTTCTATATTTAGAAACTTAACAACAGCTTGTCACATGACGACTGAACTAATTGTACATCATTCTATGTCCATCTAAAATATCTATTCGTGCTGGTGCGGTACATAACTGGATTGTCATTGAATTTATGATTTTATATTTGGGAACTTAACAATATATTGTCACATGACGACTGAACTAATTGTACATCATTCTCTACACTTTTTAAATGCCGGTGATAATTATATAACTGAATTGTCATCGAATTTATGGTTTTATATTTGGAAACTTAACAACAACTTGTCACATGACGACTGAACTAATTGTACATCATTCACTACACTTTTTAAATGTCGGTGATAATTATATAACTGGATTGTCATTGAATTTATGGTTCTATATTTAGAAACTTAACAACAGCTTGTCACATGACGACTGAACTAATTGTACATCATTCACTACACTTTTTAAATGTCGGTGATAATTATATAACTGGATTGTCATTGAATTTATGGTTCTATATTTAGAAACTTAACAACAGCTTGTCACATGACGACTGAACTAATTGTACATCATTCACTACACTTTTTAAATGTCGGTGATAATTATATAACTGGATTGTCATTGAATTTATGGTTCTATATTTAGAAACTTAACAACAGCTTGTCACATGACGACTGAACTAATTGTACATCATTCTATGTCCATCTAAAATATCTATTCGTGCTGGTGCGGTACATCTTTCTTTATATCTTATATGATCCAAAGATGAATTTTTTCCATAATTAGGTTATATTGTTTCCCAAGAAAAGCTGAAATTCAATGAAAGAGCTAAGATCTTCACCATTTCAGATCCTATTTTTCGCTTGGGGCTAAGTTACATATTTACACTGGCTGAAAACCTGCCTTAAGAATCATTTAGATGGTGATTGAGGGTGTGTTTGGTATAACGGAAAATATTTTTCAAGAAAATATTTTCTTGAAAAATAAGTAGTAATTTTAATCATTTTCTGGTGTTTGGAACGCAAATTAAGGAAAATAACTTTTTAAGAGTATTCATAAATAATTTAGATACAATAAACATGAAACCCTAAACTTTCGAACCAATAATCTTCCGAACCCACAAATTCCATAAATTTCTGAACCGCTAAATATTCGAACTCGCAAACTTTCGAACCCGTAAACTTNAAATTGCAAGGGGAGGGGGTGGTTTAGAAAAACGAAAAAACAGAAAATTGAAAATACAAAAAAAAAGTGTTAAAAAATAATATTTTTTTGCGGGGGTGAGGGAGTGGGGTTGACGGGGTTGGCGTGGGTGGGTGACGCAGAAAAACGAAAAAAAACAGAATTAAAGTTGGAGGGGGTTGGGGTTAGATATGAGGGTAGGTGAAATTTTTGAAAAAATATTTCCTAACTTTTTCTAGGGAAGTTCATTCAATTTCAGAAAAATGTGATATCTAGAAAAATATTTTTCATACTATTTTGTGTAACCAAACAGTGGAATTCCATCGTACCAAATACACCCTGAATGTTTTCTCATGTTTGAAGTGGTTGCTGTATCTTATATTCATATGCAAAGTGTATTCAATTGTTAGAATCTTATAAATGGAAAGGCACCGTTAAAATGGAGTTTCTTTTGATAAATGTTTTCTTTCTATTGCTCTTTCTTTTGAGTTGTTTATTTTGGTGTCAACAAATTAGTTATTGTACACTTATGGTACCAAATAAAAGTTTAATCTCTTTGCTGTCTTCTTGCCCAACAGGAAGAAAATAAAAAAATAAATAGATTGTGCTGGAATATACAAAAAATATATCAGAATATTACTTGATGATTTTTATTATGCACATGTGCTACCTTCTACTTGCAGCAGCAAGAAGAATTACATATTGATTTAGATACTTGCACACTATCTTTTTGATGTGTTTCATTCCTATTTGACTTTTGATGCAACTTAAAAGTTAATCAATTGCGTTCTTAGTTTTGCAACATTTTGAATCAGATTGTGTGGTATTTGTTCAGATTTGTTTCACATTCAGCGAAGAAAAGTTGTATACATTAAATCAAAAACTAATAAGGTCTTGGGCCCGGGCTCTGCCTCCAACTAGTTCCGAATAGAAACACAGAATATCAGATGGGCTTCACATATCCGATTAGGACTTAACGACTTCCTCGTACACTAAGAAATATAGGGAAATATCGAAAACCAAACAAAAATAAAACAAAGCAGACACCTACTTAATTTGCCACCTGATCTGATATCATTAGGTTGCCTTTATGTTGTGATTGATGGTGATGAATGATGATGAAGATGTTGCAGATGTTACATATGGAAGCACCACGTGTTCAACACAAATAAGCTCTCTTCTTGACACGTTCCAATGGGGTTGCCTACACTTACTGTTCATGCATCCCAATTAATCTCACCCCACCCAAATCTGCCTCTTCAACTCATTCAAAGAGCACCACTGGCCTCTAAGCTTGTGCAAAGCGTCAAAAATACTACTCTTACTCATTAATATCCCACAAGCCACGCATGCAACTCTTTGCAGCGTACGTGGCACTTGTCATCTCACTGTATATATTTGGCATTCTTCTCTTTCTTGTTCAACACATTTTAATGTATCAGTTTTCTCGTTTACTATATATTATAAAAAAAAAATGACAACCAAGTTGAGAAAAACTTCTCCAACTACTTCGAGAATTGGATGAGTCAACTTGAAGAGTTCCTCAGGCTACTTCTCATTGTTCCAAAGGAAATTTCACACGTCAAAGATCACGAAACCTTGGTAAACAAAATGACCGCACATCACAAAGACTACTATACTGCCAAATGGGCAGCGGCACACGAAGATATCTTGTCATTTTTCAATCCAGTTTGGTTAAGCCCTTTGGAAAATGCATACTTATGGGTCACTGGCTGGAAGCCATCAATGGCCTTTCGCCTGCTAGTTGGTGCTACTTCCGAGTTGAGTGATGAACAGGTGAAGAGTATTGATGCTTTGAAGGTGAAAATTAGAGCAGAGGAAGAGAGAGTAGAAAGAGAAATGGAAAGGCAACAAGTGGCTTTGGGAGATAGAAAAATGGTGGAATTGGCAAGGTTAAATAGCAGTACTAGAGTGAGAACAAGTGGTTGCACTAGTGACTCTCACTTAAATAATCAGTTGGATGGGCTAGTAGAGGTGGCGTTGAAAGGATTAATGATAAGTTTAGAGAGGGTGATGAAAATGGCTGATTGCGTTAGGCTTAAGACGTTGAAGGGCTTGTTGGATATCTTGAATCCTACACAGTGTGTGGGTCTCTTGGCTGCTATTTCAATGCTTCAAATACAGATGAGGAAATGGGGCAGAAAAAAAGAAAATCTTTGTTAGTTTGAAACTTTAATGAATATTAATATATTATAGTTTTCTTGTACAATTTGGTTAGGTTTAGCTAGTATGAGAGTAGAGGATGATGTCTGTTTTCATGAAATTTTCTTTTATTGGAACGGCTCTTTAGCTTTTGTTACATATTCTGTTAATGTTTGATTGACAGTCGAAAAATTAAAAAAGACAAAATTATCTTTAGCTTAATCGTGCAAATTGCAAGGAAATTGGCATTTCACGAGTTTTTTAGACATCTCAAGTTGGTCAAAATACGTACTTTAAACAATACAGATACACCCCGTTCCTCTCTTCCTGATACAACCGCACCTTTCTCTTTTATTCATCAAAATCCTATTTCTCTTTCACACATCCCTACTCATTCTTCAAACGTAGCCTAACATCAGTGCAATAAAAGACAAAAGAATAAGATAAATAGAGAATCTTGAAAAATAAATAACAGCCGATCATAATATTCCAATCGATAGCCAAAGGAAAGTAAAGACATATAAGCAACACATGTAAAACTTGCAAATCAAGATAAAACACATTGCTTCTTACATGGCAAAAATAAGCAGATTTCAGTAGCCCTCCACATTATTATACAAAATAAAGCAAAACCCAAAAAACAAACAACAGATAAGAAATTCATGCAAGTATAACAAGACCAGACTTCTTGACACTTGGGTGTGTAAAGCAAACAAATGGAACTTTGACAACCTGGAAATTAAATCAAGAAAAAATAGGAAACTTACCGCAACTTCCATGAACGGATGAACCTATACTGAAGAAATGTTAAAGAGGTAGAGGCATTTGATAACACTGAACACCCTGTTCAAATCCTCTGTTAAAACCAGCTTTTGATCACGAAAGAGAATGCATCATACAAATATCCCACATAAGGAAAAGTAGACATGCAAGGATTTTCGAAAGAATGAACTAATATATATTAGAAACAGAAAAATGGTTAAGAAGAACTTGCAGTTGACATTAGTGAGGTATATCTTTGTGCATTCATATTTCATACATAGCAACGCAATGCTCGACTTACAAAAATAGACACACTAGTCAGGTTTAAGCTGCCTCAGAGGATAGAATCTCGAGTTCAGCCCACCAGAGGGGAGATAGACTTGGAACTGCAGCCTCAGGTGATATATCAATCGCTTCCCTTAGCTTTGTAACGACTTCCTTTATAGTTGGTCTTTTCCTTTGATCTTCTCGAAGACATTCTCTTATTACCTCACATATAACCATAAGCTCATTATTTTTGAAGGCCTTCAATGTTGGATCAACCAAGCTGCTCAGGTTCTGCTTATCATTAAGGTATTGCTCCGCCTAAACAAAGCAATGAATTAACAAAGTTTCACTAGTCTTCTCATTAAAACAAACTAGGTAGATATCAAGACCTAGCCAAAAAAGGAGATCAAATAAAATAGAATTGAGATTTACCCAGTTCAAAAGAGACTCTCTTTCTGAGTAAGGCGACTTTCCAGAAATTACTTCCAGCAACAAGATCCCAAAACTATAGACATTTGTGTCGGGATCAGCAAGTGGTGGCAGCTCAGAGTTTTCTATATCACCACTGGCGGACTTTGACTTGACTAGTATTTCAGACCAGAAAGCAAGCTGTGTAATCTGTGAAACCAAAAGTATTCTTCTAAATTCATTGTTGTATATGAAATGTCTTGTTGACATATATATGCTATACGGAAATTTACTATATGTATTCGTAATGAAGCACACCTTAGAAGCATAATCGTCAGTAAAAAATATGGCCTGTGAATTCACATCAGAATGGTACAATGGAGGATTCAAATTGTGCATGTACTCAAGACAATATGCTGTCCCCATTATAGCTCTCATTCTTGCAGGCCAGTCAAGAGGGTCAGCTTCTTCAACTGAAACCACAAAATATGTTAGTTTTCATTACTTAAAAACTAAATCACACTACCATCGTAAATGATTAAACTAATATTCGCACTGCTAACTAGTTTACCATGCAGATGCTCGAAAAGAGTTCCATTTGGAGCATACTCAAAGACCATCATCCTTGTGAAAGGTTCATCCTCCTCACAGTATCCAATTAGATTAGTAAAATTCTTGTGGTTTATCCTTGAAAGTGAATCGATCTATCCAAGCGCACAATAATTCAACATCATATTAAGTAAATGTAATTGAAAAGAAGTGAAGAGACAACTAGGATGTCACTACAGAAAGAGTGAGACAAGTAAGAAATTACTTAGCAGCATTTTTATTTGTGAAAGAGATGATAAACTAACCTTCTTCCTGAAGGCCAATTCAGAACGTTTGGACCAATCTTTCAGAGAATTTATAGGAGTTGACACAACAGCAATCTCTACTCCATTGGATAGAGTTCCCTTGTAGACAGTAAATGTATCTTGATTGCAAATGATGTTGCTAAATTCCTCGCATGCAGTTACAAGCTCGGACCTATTTAGTTTTGGGACCCCTACAATTGTTTTCATGCACAAGACATGAGAAACAAAATATGAGTACTAAATTAAGTATTCACCTTCTTATGGTTGTCATCGAACAATGTACATTTACGTAGGGAAGTGAGCTGAAGAAAGTAAAATTGATGCAAGAATGATTATTCATAATTTCTAAGAACTAAAAGTGGAAATTCCAACCTACAAATGTTATCTCAAACAGGGATGTAAAAAATTAACTCACTCGTAGATTATCAACTCTGCCAATCCTTCCTACAAAACAATTAGAGGGGAATATGTTCCTAACTCGAGGCTAAAAATACATTTTCATTTCCCCAAAGAATAAAAATGTTAGTCCCCAATATTTCGAATTTGTGTCCCCATTATTTCGAATAACAGTCCATTCATAAAACTATCATTTAATGCAGCTAATCAACTAGCTTGACTCCTGCCCTGACACGTGAACTTCAAATCCGAGGTTGGAGAGAGAAGTGGCATTAACAAACCCTAAAAATGCATCATACTTCACAACAGACAATGAATAGGAAGAAGATTAGGCTCCTGTACAGGAAGCCTCGGAATGGGCTATAATACGCGTCAAAGATTGGGATTATATTCACCTGAGAAAAAAATGCACCCAACAGTTGAACTAGATCATATGGATCTTGGACAGAATACCAGCAGTGTCATCAGTTTTGACACAACATTTAATCAAAAGTACCTGTAATAAATGCTTTCTGCAGCTGTCCACTCAATCCAGTCTTCCAAGGGCCTATTGTTTGCACAGCTTTGCTCTTGCAGATGAAGATCAGACACACAAAAATAACAACCAGAAAAGCCCCAATGCCAATTCCTATATACTTCCATGTACTTGCAGATTTTCTACCAGGTGGGGCATGACCAGCAGTTGGCTGTTTAACGGCACCATTAGAGTGTCCCTGAGGAGTTTGAGGCTCATGTTGTCGAGGTGAGGATGGTATAGTCGGAAGAGGAGGAGGAGGAGTTCCCTCAGTATTTGGTAAAGCACGAAAGGAACCACTACTTCTGCTGCTTGGCATAGGAACAATAGGTCCTAATGGTTTCCCTCCATTTGCAGGAACAGCAGCAAGGTTACTGGATTGTTCAACTAACTTACGACGTACAGTGTTTCCTTGGTTCTGTACAGCGTGGATGAAGTGAGGCCTTAGTGAACCTGCCAAACAAAAGAACATAGCATATTCTTTTTGTGTACATTTCTTTGAAATTCCAATAAAAGGTGTCACATAAAATGATTTTCACTCACCTTGTAGGTTGTCAGAGCATAAGTCTGCATGATCACCCAAAAAGCCAGGGAACCTTTAGGAAACAAAATAAAATTTTAGAAAGCATAAAGGTGAAAGAAACCTATTTAGTTACTTACAGTGTGAAGAAACTAAGATAACACGTTAGCGTCCCTTTAATTGGTCTGATAAAGGAGCCTATGGTCTTAAATCGTCTCAAACTTCCACGCCTGATGCTGTCATAAAAAGGCAACAAATTTTCAGAGCGAAGCATGAAATACAAAGCATCTGACTGAGAAGTAAAATGAAAGCATATTAAATGGATGGTAATTTTCACACCAAGCTAAACGTTTTAGTAGTTAGTACTCTGACACCAGTTATAAATCTAAAACTGAAGTTACTTAGCTAAAACTTTGAAGTTACTTATCCAAGAGTGCCTAGATCCCGAATTCAAACAGAGTCAACAGGACCAATAGAATACATTTGTGCTTATAGTTATAGTCAGCTGAATTCTTCATGTTGCAAAACAGGCATACTATAAAATCAAGTGTTCTTCTGCTCATGGCAAAGTCTAGTTGCATACCTAGCAATTTTAGTTGACAATATACAGAAAAGTCAAGAGAATGAGAAATGTGCAATGAGACATAAACAGATGGTTATATTGATGAATGAGAAAATGTCACAGATAGATGAATCGCAGATACAGAGACACTAAGATCCAATCCCCTCTAAATATTATATGGGCATCGAAGATGGTTTAGAGAAGGGAAGTGAAGAAACCAGCATGTGAGAAATGGAAGGAAGAATTTCCACATACTAGTGAAAATGCAATTGCACTCCTCATCCTCACACGCCTAGCCACAGAATGGTGCAAGACAACTATTGCTATAAGATCTCAAACATACAACAACGATATTGGAAACATGACAAAGCAGAAACCCAGATTCACAAACATGGGTGATGAAAGCATTGAGTTCCCCCATCAAGTCCAAGCTCTACTTCCAATTTTCCAGATGTCATCCATCATCAATACTGTTAAGTTGTTCCCCATGCTATACAACAGCCAAAAGCTTGAATTCTAAAGAAAGTATGAGAGACTATTAGGGCCACTATCTGCATAGAAAATGTTCCAAAGATCTTCAAAGCCTCTCCAAAGGATAAGTTGTCATCGGTTGAATTTTACTAACGAACTTATTGCAGGAGGCAGTGAGCCGCTTTTGAAAGACTAAAGTAGGTTATTATGAAAGTAGAAAATTGGCATATGTTTCTCAAATGTCTTGAATACAGATTTTATGCACTTGCAATATCATTGAACGTAGATACAACTTTAAAATGTAGCACAACTGGAAGATGAAGATAAAAGGACAAACAACTAAAGGAGTCTTACCAATGCCCAAGTTTTCTGTTTATGCAGCCATTTCCGGAAGCAACACCAGAGGTGA